AAATTAATGTAACGTAATATACGTAGCCTATTTTTAAAAACTAACTTCTAGTATAATTATAATTTTGTAATAAGTAATATAAAATTAAGTAAATAATTGCAATAGACAACGAATTATTTGTAGACATTTAAAAATATTGTTAGTTAAATCAAACTTATAAATAATATTAGGTTGAAAATATTAGTATTCGTTTACTAGTGAATGTCAAAAATGTTGTACTTCAATTTTTCAATCATAATTTATTTATGCTTATACTTGATAATTTTTTCATTTAAAAAAAATGTTAGAACGACTGAACTGGATGATTTGAATGTAAATGAACGTCTTAAATACATAAAATGCTCCTATTTGTTTTGTGGTTTGACTCATATGAAAATCACAAAAATTATGTTAATACGTAAAAATGAAGATTTACCTATTATTTTAACTAAAATATGTAAGTACAACGAAAATATTAAAAAACAAATAAGTTCGCTTTATGACAATGCAAAAAATTACATTAGAACCTTGTGGTTAATAAACCTTTATATACATAGTATATTTTGGCTTACATACAAACCTGAAAATGTAACAGAAGTTGTAATTGATGATTTTACATATAATAATATCATACGAACCCATGATTTTGTTATACAGCATATAGAGTCAGATAGTGAAAATTGTGATAAGTCTAATATGTTTCATATAGACAATAAGATGTTGGATGATTACAATAATAAAGATGATACATATTTAAATGATATATTAATTAAAAACGATGAAAATTTTCTTAAATTTCTTAATTTAGGGTCCCTACCTCATCTATTTCGAATAAAAATGTCTTATCGATTTTCAAAGACCTTCATGTCTATTAGAAGAGCACTAAAACATCTTACGATTAAACATTTTCAAAAGGCTTTTTCTATACAAGTGTCATGGGACACAGTTTTACCAGAAAAAATTCATGGCTTGTATGTTGCAGTTAATGAATTACAATGGTCGTCTGATAAATTACAAATTGTTAAAACATTCTATAAGACGTTTTTTGACCTTTTTAAAATTATCATGTTAAGATTGACTTGGAAACATTTTTTATACCTTCAATGCCAAAACATGGAAAATGTAGAAAATCTTGCAAAAGAATGGTTAAAAATATTGGATGATTTTTCAAAGCTGTCATGTGTAGAAAATGATAATGATATCATCAAAATTTCTTCGAGCATTAAACAATTTATTGCTTACATACCAAAAAACAGTAATGGATCAATTGACAAGAAGAAGTTTCCAAACTATTATCAAGTATACTTCTATAGCTTAATATCGGACTTACAAGTAATATTAACTAATCTTTGTGTAAATTTAAATTGTTTTGCTACTTATCCAATGTTTTTGCTTGGAGATGAACTACCTGATACTGAGAAACCAACTCACAACCCAACTGATGTTGTAACCGTTGAATATTATAGTTTACTTAATGCAAAATCTTTTATTAAAAATATAAAAATAATTTCGAAAACTACCGACTACGGAGTTATTAGAACTTTTATAAATTATATTGATGAATTTAATAAACAATAATTACATGTCTATCTAGATAAAATTTTTAAAGAATTATAAAAAAATACTGTTATTTTTATTGAAAAAATTCTATTAAATAAATGAGGCAGTTGAATTCTGTGGTCAAATTTGCTCTTTCTTTAGTTCATAAACTTCAATCCATGTAAATCCATATTGCTGTATTCGTACAACTTTCAATATTATCATAATAACTCATAAATTTTTTTTTATAGACTCATTACATTAATATTGTAGTTTTTTTGGTTGAATTTCAGATTAATAAAATTTAATAATACTTAAATTAGTTTATAAAGTTTTATAAGCTAAAATAAAATTTATTGATAATAGATGTCGTCATTAATAAAAGAAGACATGTAAAAAACCATATTGTGCAAGTACTTTTGGTAACTTGATAATTGACAATCTAATCTTTTTTATTTAAAAGAAAAAAAATATGTTGACATAACAGATATTATTTTTGGGACTTAATTACGTATATAAGAAACATTACGTCAGTGCTAATTTAAGCGTTCCGACTACTTATCTTAATAACTGCTTATTTTATTTTAAGAATATTGGAAATAAAACACATCATAGTAAAATTAATACCTACTCCGCTTCGCATCGAAGCTAAAAAATTAATATAAAAAGAAAATTTATTAAAAAATTTTATTTAATTTTTCCTTAAATACTTTAAAATTTGAATTATTATTGTGAATTAGTTTGTAACTGAATATTTGAAACATATAATGAAATTAATTTTTAATTTCAAAAAAGAAAATAACTTGCTGAGCGTATAAATGTACAAGTGTAGACACTGTTTTAAGTTTTACTTTTACTCTTAATAATATATATCAATTTAATTTTTTATTTTCCTGATGTTTTTAAACATAAATTCTATACGAAATAATTTTTAATTTATTAAAAAATAAAAAACGATAGCAAATTGGGGAAGTAGCATAGTTGGCACAAGTACGATTTAGATATAGATGAAATGCTTCTTGGGAAACTTAGGTATTTCCCCAGTCTAAGTTATTAGTACATATCAGTCGACTTACACTTATACTAAACTAAACCATACCGGTCGTTTAAATGTAACCTATGAAACCTAGAAAAAATCCAAATTTTAGTCGTGAAAATAAAATGTTATTTGATAAAAAAAATATTTTTTCCTTCATAACTTTTGATAAACTGCATAATTTTATAATAGGTTACTAAGTTCAAACGAAGGTAGTGACTTTATGAAATGAAGGGTTAGTCAAAATTTGCCCCAGTTTTGTATGATCTGAAATGATCAAACTGTTATACCTTAGACACCTATATGGTAATGCAGAAAATGATTTCTATGTAAAACCAAAATCCTATAAAAATTTATAAACACAACCTTTTATTATATCTTTAAAAATTATCTTTTACTTAAATAGTTTAAAAATATTTTTATTTAAACATACTTTACGAGAATGTTCTGTTTCAGTTGTATAGTTTTCATTTTAAAAAGGTTAATCATGTTAATCCATAAGAATGTTGTATACAAAGTAATTCTTTTAACGCTAGTCACTCAATTTTTCATAAAATAACTATAATGTTAAGAAAATTATTTTTGGAACTTTATAATTTCTTATATTTCTGAATTTTTTTTATTAATTACTTTTTTAATTCATAAGATGGGAGATTCATAAGTGGGATATCGTGTCAAGAGGAAGTTTAGGATAAGAGTGGCCGATCCCACGTAGTTAGAATTAAGGCGAAGAAGACTTTTTTAATTCATACCTCGTCAACTTTATATTTTAGTGACAACATACATATTTAAATACTTTATAAAATAAAAAACGGTAGCACAGTTTGGTTGCACACTATAATGTGGACGTGGCATAGTGGGAACAAGTATAGATGAAATGCTTCGATACAAATCTGTAGATAGTGTTTCCTTCATAATTTCTGATTACTAGTTATTTGATTTTTAACTATAATATATGAATAAATATGTATTATTGTTATTAAATATAGTATAGTGGGGTTGGGTTTAAAATTTTAAAAATTAGTATTGTAAATTTCTTTTGAAGTTGCCATTTTTTACCAGATATTTATCTTAATTTCAAAAATGAAAGTATTTTTTCAAATATTTGATGATTATAAGTTAAAGTAGATTAAAATCGGGTTTTTTTGATGTATCATCATCAATATTAGTTTTGTTAATTAATTTTACATGATATTATATAAACAAATTTTTATTGATGTCTAAATACTAATGATAAATTATTGACTTTTAAAACATACTATTGATGCCTCCGGTATTATGAAAACCAAATTAATGATAAATTTTATGTATTAAATACAAATCTTAAACAATTTTAAAATAAAAAATGGTTTTTGAAATAAAGAAAAAAATTTTAAATACAAAATTTGTTTCTATTATGTCAATCAAATAGGGTTCTCATAAAGGAAAATTAAAGTTTAGGTTTTTTATCCCCAAATACACGAAACAAAATTATTTAACTAAGCATTATTATGTTTGAGTTTTTGAATATTTTACAATATTTTCCTTTATAAAATTTTAAATATTAAATAAGTTTTAAGAAAATGAGTGTCTTATTCTTAATTAATCATTTTGTATATATTATGCTATAGTATTGCTTTGTATTACAGATAATTTATTGCTTAAGATCATTTTATTCTTAATAAGAATTTGAACATTATTTTTCTAATTGATAATTGTTTTTAGTGTACAAAAATTATATAACTTAAATTATTTGTAATTTTTTATATTAATGTACATAAGTTACATTATGTATAGCATATTATTTTGCCATAAAAAAATTAGGAGAATACTGAGAAAACTTAATTATTTTACAATATTTTGTGTAGTTTTTATTTTGGTTGTGTAGGATAGACAAAAATATTTGAAATTAAAAATTATAATATATTATCAAACTATATGTTATGTACTGCACTTGCTATTTAACCGCACAGTAAATATTATTAAAAAATAATCTTTTTTTATGTATAGTTAAAATTACACGAATATAATTAACTATAAGTATTATGTTTCACTACATAAAGTATCAATAAATTTACACAATTTGCAAATTATATAAAAATAAAAAAAAAAGATTTTATAAAAAAAATATTATACAGAGAACAGTTGATCAAATGATCAACAAGACCACAATAATAATTGTAGTCTTTTAATTTGGTGTATATTTATCAATTTCTTAATTAAGACATGATCTAACATGTATGAAATGTAAAAACTGCTCCGACAGAAGGAGGGTTGTTCTCAAGTTTGAATTTTTTGAAAGGATTCCCTTTAGTAGTATCAAAGGTCCACCCGCTAGTTGAAATATACGCAAACGCAAAGGATTAAAAGGAGGGCGAAAAACACTCATTGGTTTCATCAAATATAAGACACACCCCCGAAAAAGCATACACAATCTCGCCTGAGCTTTGGCTTCACAAAGGGTGACATTTCGTTTATCGTGTGCATTTGGAGACTTTGGTCGATGCAATCGCAGAACGCTGACAGTGCCGAAACAAAATTCAACTGTACTTAACTTTACTTACTTCAAACTGGAAAACAAATGGTAAGTACTTAAAATAATAGGTTTATAATTATTAAGGTAGAAATGAATATTAATATTTATTAAGAATAATAAATAAAAAAATTAATATACAACGAAAATATAGTTTCATTTTAGCTCAGTTTTCGCAATAACTATAGTGAAATCATAAATATTTATAGAAATATATAATAATTTTACAGAAAAATATAAAATATTTTTTTATCAATAGAAGAAAAATGTTTGTACCAAACGAATAGTAAGAGTTAAAGGAATCAAAGTGATATTTTGGAAAAAAAGATAAATGAAATTCTAAGAAGTAAAATAATATTCTTTTAAAATACTTAAAGATCATAGTGATTATTTTAAAATGTCCGCTATCTGCTAAAAATATTCTGTACAATTTCTTTAATTCATTTATTTTGTTAAAAGATTGTCTAATCACAAAGAATGCATTACTCATTTACTGTAAATAAATACATTTTTTCTGTAATTTTTGAATGCTATATAAATAAGTCATATCAAATTAGCTGTTGACTAGATAACATAAAGTTCATTAAATTTATACCTTATAAATAATTCTCATATACTTAAATAAATGCACCAAACCAATATGTTTCAAGTTTTTTGGTCGTTTGATAATACTTTTTTTATCCAGTCATAACAATATTGACTATTTCCTTCTCAAGATAAAATCTATGTTAGACTTTTCATAAATCTAAAAAAAGAACAAAACTAATTATGTTAAATTATAAGCCAAAAATTTCTGTTCAGTTATTTTACAAATATTGGTATTTATGTACAGCTTTTTATTTTTACGGAGTGTTTAAAACAAAATGAAAACCTGTGAAATTTCATAAAAAATCGACTTTCTTAACAATTAATTTACTTAATAGATTATATAAATTTATTGTAATAATTCATTTTGTTAAATTTGATTAAAAATACTAAAACTATAATGTTGTTTAAACGCTATCGGTTCATAAAAATAGGACAAAACAGTAAAAAAAAAGCTGCTGTCTTTTAAAAATTAGTGCGTTTTTTTCTGATCGCCCCTAAACTTTAAACAGCTGTAATTCATTATGAATCTAATAAAAATAAAATTTTGGAGTTGCCATTTGAAAATCTAAAGCTGCTACGAGTTTAGGTTATAATAGATGGTAGTAGACAATAAATTTTTCATTTTAGTAGCTCAAAAAGAACCATTATTGTTGAAAAAATAAAATTATATTTAGCTCTAATATTTATTGTTAATGAATCACTCAGTATTTTAGCGTAGAGAAACATTCTAAATAGTATATGTTTAAGGCGAAAATTGCACAATCAAAATTATTTTATACAAAAAGATGAATTATTTTCTTTATAAAGACTATTTGTTATTTTACTCGTTTAATTATTAATTAATCAATTACCATGGGCTTATACTTAATTTATTATTATGGTGTGATTATGTTGCTTATCATGATGAACAACATATAACTTTAGTAGTCAGATAACAAATAACATGGCGTTATGATATTATTACTTTTTTTTTGTACATAAACGATTATTATAAATCCTTTTTTTTCTGATTGTTTATTAAATAACAGGCAAGGGTAAAACAGTAATTTTAGTATTTTTTAGTTGCAATGCTTATTGCGGCGTTGAGAGTTTTAACTATTCCGTGTGAACAAGAACACATTGGCCACCACACTCACATTATGTATACATACGACTGAGGTTCATTGAGTATAATTACTGGGATGGCAAAATATTTCATGCAAAAGGCGACGTTTAAATATTTTATGACAAAAAATCACGAATATCGAATCATTTTCATTATCTATACACATTGTCACTATAATTACCTTTATGTAATTTAGGTGTCTCAGTCATTCATGTAAATAATGCATTTTTTCCTAGCAAAGAATGAAAATATTTACACAGAAACGTATCACATGACTGAAGCCGATCGTTACTTTTTCAAATTAAAGTACCGCGTTACTTTAATTTTATGAATAGATTTAAAATGTATTTTGTGTTTGCTGCTATCGAGAGGATTGATTCACCAGAGCCATAAAATCTGAACAGTCATATTGAATTTTCATAAGTAAAATCCAATGCATTATTAATATTTAAGATTGCCGAATGAAACTGATTTCTATTTAGTTTCGAAAGCGCATTAAATTTCCCGATGATGTTATTTAAATTGTATTATTGTTGTTGGCTTTTTGTCGTTAAATCTGAAAATTAATTTAAAACCGTTTTCGACCAACTCCGCATCGACTTATAATAATAATAACAATGTTGGAATTATTATCGCTGTGCTGTGTCTATAAGTACATTACTTTTCAACGAGCTCGTCAAAGTTTGGCTGACGATTTGGTAATTTTAATAATAATTGAATGCCGCAAATCAATTTACCAACGAGGTCGTCTCTTCTGCGGCGGTACCTGTTGTGCGCGGCAATGGCGGCTTACCCCAAAAGAAGGGGAGTTCAATCACATTACGCACCACCGCCGACTGCCGTAATTATTGTTGTACCCCATACAATAATGTACAACAATTATGTTTTAATAAGAATCGCAATACATAACACAATTCAGCATACAGTTAATATTACTACGATAGAAACACGATTAGATTTTCATCATCCGTAAAATTACATCATCCTCCGCCTCGGTTTCCTTGATAGATTAACAATTCTCATTGTAACCATACAAGTATAACGAACAGTATACCATTGTTTATAGACAATATATAATTTATGCGTTAAAGACTTTGGTCGTATGTTCGAGCAAAGCTGTAGTTGCTGTTGAATACATAAACTATCTAATAGACGACATTTGTTTTTGCTGACTTCAACGCGATGGATTGTTGCGATAGTAGTGCAGTTTTAATGTCAAAATTAAGTTTCGATAATAATAAATCAAGTTGAAAATTATAAATGTATTTGTCTGAGAACGAGAGAAAAATGACAGCAAATATGCGCAGATAAAAATATTTTAACAATTCTCGATTTTTTTCCTATAAACATTTAACATTTACACTGTAAATATTTTTCACAAATTTGTTCTAAACATGTTGTTGTTATAAGATGATTCATGTTTTCGTTTGTGTCTATTTTCGAAAATCAGAGCATAGGTTAGGGGGTGTGAAGATTCAAACACTTAGCTACACAATATGTTACATGTAATCAAATTAGGCGAGTATTCAAAAAATGGGATGGAGTTTTGTAATCAGCTTTCTTTTAAATATTCTATTACTACGTCTCTGTAGAAAATCGAAATCTAGTGGACTTACGTCGTATCATAATTAACCGGTGTTTAAAAATACAATTCTTAAAAAATGTAATGGCCAAAAGCGAAAAAAATTAATCTTACACGTTAATTAAATGCAAAACGACTAACAAAATTAAACAAAACAATAATCGATTAAAAGCTCATCATTATCTTGAAGTTTCTATATTCTTAAATTAATAACTAATATATGATTGTTGCCAGTCTAAAACTTATTTCTAATAATACCTCGTAAATAACTTTGTCGACATGATTACGCAAATTGTACTAGCTATTAAATCGTTAAACTAATTATAATGATTAATTTTACCATTCATGCGAACTAGTATACAATAACCAAGATTTGCCGAGAGAAAAACTATTTGAATTATTCACTAAATCTACGACCCTGCCCGAGCATAATTTTAATTTTAGTATTTTTAATTAGTTCTCATTCGGCAATAACGTTGTACACTACGCAGAGACGTTTAAGAAAAGATTTAAAGCACACCCGCCACCGTGTAGTCATGCATCACTTCGTTAGACATTCGAAAAACCTTTCGCTCTCTTTTGGCAAAATTTAACAAGTAATTATCGACGGATTACAACCTCTGCGTTCTTTCAGCACCCCCTCACCCGTCCGGGGTCAGATTAACCCCACCATCGCCAGCCGGTTGTAATTGTGTTGTTCGTCCCTCGGCGCATCCACTTCAACCAGACACGTTCTTTCCTATCTCAGCCGCCTTGACGAGCAGCCGGATTCCCTTTCACGATCGGCTCTCGTTTAATTAATTTCGCTTTTACCACCGTATGCCATCAACGCAATGAACGCTTAGTTCATTGTAGTTCAAAATGTATTTCTACGCGCTTAAGTCGCAGTTAGTATCAATTTTAATCACATTCATTTACCAACGTAAAGAAACGACGGATTACACACCGCACAGTTTTGCGTTACGCACAACTGTTCTCTCAGCAGGTAACCTCCACAATAGTCAGCCAATTGATCATAGTGTCAATTCTGTTTACTGGATTCTGTTCTCCCAATATTTTTAAATTACAAATTCGCCCTCGATAGGATTTGGTAGAATATAAAAATTGAAAACAACTTAAAATTATCGTGTCGTGACGTTCGTTTCAATGAAAAGTGGTTTAAAGGAAAATATCAACGCAAAAAAAAGGCCATTAAACCGAATAAATAGATATCAGTCAGAGTTTGTTGATCTATTCACAAAAACGAAGAATCCAATGTAGTATATTAAGTTTTGCATGTTATTGAAAGTTCTTTTAGTTTATTAAAGTGATATATTTATCTCTTCAATTAACCGAAATAAATTGAGCTTATGAGAGAGTAGAAGAAATATTTTAACACAAAATAAATATTTGTCTTCTTGTTTATTATTTCGGTTTATCTTTATCTATGATTTTACATAACAAGATTGACATAAAATATAAATCTATTAAATCTGTTTATGTATAATTGTTCGATGTCCATTAAAATATGATTTTCAAGTTAAAAATCAAAAGATCGTCGTTTTTATATAATAAGATTCTGGTTTTCCTTGCAGAAAATGACACTGGTGAAAATGGATCAAAGATTTCAGATGATTGGTCATCATAGGGATGACAAACCAACTGAGCCATCCAGGGCTCTTATTCCTGTAACCAATAATTCAAAGCCAAATAAAGTAAGTAATATCAATTTAATTCATTTTTTGTATACATTCATAATAATTATAATTGGTTGACTAAACTGAATTTTAATATTTGAGGGATCGGCACAAATTTTTCTTTGAATGCTAGATAAAAAAATGAACTCTGCAAATCTTAAAATCCAATTCCCTAAATTATAGGTATCGGTACTAAACTGGAGGATCTTAATTCACAGTCTAAGAATTTGTTTCTCACCAAAAAAAAAAATAAAATTTATTTATGATTGAATTTAAATAGTATTTAAGATGAGGGAAATATGCCAGTAACCCCAAAAATTTTTCGTATACTTTACAGCCAATTAAAAATCATTTTGGCCTCCGCCGAAGAGGATACTTCTTAACCCGAGGAGATTTTATTTTAGTCGTGCCAATCACTATTCATCTGACCCTTATGATTATTATTTTAAAATAAATATTAACATACGCAATCTAATATTTGTTATAATTTTATTATGTTCACCATATGCCTCAATATCATTCCACTGTGAAATTTTAACTTATAGCCTCGTTTTATAAAAATAAAAAACAACAATTATTTTATGAAGTTCGATTATTTATTTTCAAGGAATTCTCTGTCAAAAGTAAAAGCGACTTAACTTTTTTTTTCGTAAATACGTCCAGGGGATCTTCCAAAAATGTTGAACCTCAAGTCGTGTGCTTTTATAGCACTCAGTCAAATCCAGTTCTGCTGGTTGAATTGACTTTAGACAGCAATACACAGCGAAAGTAATTTCAATGAATCTTTTACAATCAATACCCCAAAAAAAATTATTTCTAAATAAACTTTCACGTTTTTTACTAACTATATGCATGTATTAACAACACTCAATTAGAGTATAATTGAGCCTTGTGCAAATTTTGAAAAATATTTTTCAACTAATTCGAAGAAAACATCATATCAATAAATATTCTTAGTCCAAAACATTATAGTTTACGAAATGTTTACAGTATCTATCTGAAAAATCAAACATAAATTATTTTGAATTGATTAAATTAAAAATATGTCAAACAAAAACTAAATGATATATATATATATATATTTTGTGTTCAGTCAATAAATTTAGATATTATAAATATTTAATTTTTAACAATATAGTGTAACTTCGTGTAGCAAAAATAAATAACATCTAAAGACATGTAACGAGTAAAATATTTTGTGAACTTAATAGTTGAATTGAACAGTAATGAAACGTTTAAGTAGGTATTGTTTTGTTTGTCCAACCAGGTGGGTACTGTTATTCTGTATGGCGTTCCGATCGTTTCCCTTCAAATGGACAATCAAGAACGTTTGTGTTTAGCTCAGATCAGCAATACTCTTCTGCATAGGTTTAGTTACAATGAGATTCACAATCGTCGGGTTGCGTTGGGAATCACTTGCGTACAATGCACTCCCGTTCAGCTGGAAATGCTACGCCGTGCTGGTGCCATGCCAGTGTCGTCACGCCGATGTGGCATGATAACCCGAAGAGAAGCGGAACGCCTGTGCAATTCATTTCTAGGAGACAATACGCCTCCTCGACTGCCGGACGACTTTGCGTTTGCCGTACACCACGAATGCGCCTGGGGATGTCGTGGATCGTTTTTGCCATCCCGTTATAACTCATCCCGAGCGAAATGTATAAGGTGTTCGGTATGCGGTCTATTCTTTTCGCCTAACAAATTCATATTTCATTCGCATCGGACAGGGGCCAGTGCTCGTTACGTACAACCGGACGCCGCCAACTTTAACTCTTGGCGCAGACACATGAAGCTAAGCGACGACCCTCCGGATCACGTGGTACACGCCTGGGAAGACGTGAAAGCCATGTTCAATGGCGGTACGCGAAAACGCGCAGTGTCCAGACATTCGCCACAGCCGGCAGGATTGTCGCAACCGACACGTCCGTCATCTCCACCACCTGTACAGCCAGTTACCACAGTTACGTCGCCGGCTCATCAGCGCGAGCGCGACGTAAAAAAACAGCCGATACCCGTTTCGCTACAACCGCCAGTGCCGGTGCCGTCCATGCCGCTGCATCAAGCCATGGTCGACTACGTGTGGCAGCAGCGGGCCAATCCATTTGCAGTGGCTGCAGCAGCTGCAGCTGCTTACTCGGCCGGCGGCGGACTACCCTGTTGGCTTCCGAAGTTGGACTTGGACGCGCACAGCGCGTTGATCGGGCGCAGCTCAGCAGTCGATTACTCGTCGGCATTTCGGCCCGTTCGTTCTGTTACAATGGCCGACGACGACGAAGGTGGCCGTGGCGTGGACGACGAAGACGACGACGAGATCGACATCGAGACGTGCCCCGAAGAACAGAATTCATAAAGTAGTCGTCGGTCAGATTCGGGTTAGTTCGGTGGTAAGCTGAACTTTATCGTGATAACCGTGTTATTTGTTGTTGTTAACATCTGAAAAATACATTAAGGTCTCTCGCCAGATGTGGTTGTGTAGAGTATATTTAGATAACTATTTTATTGTATTTCATTTATTGATTTTACACGATTGTAATTGTTAATGATATGATTTTCTATTGTAAGAGCCGTGTGCTGTTTAAAAAAAAACCAGATAAATACTTAATAGTGAAGAAAATTGCAATATTATCAGACTCGATAGCTGTCTAGTGAAACGCGTGTGAACCATTACACGTGTATCTAATTGTTTAATACCCTAAAACACTTCAATTTTTATATTGTTACATAACAGATTATTATTTCGACCGAACAGATATACATTATTATTATTTACAAAGTATTTTATCTTAATTCAAATTTAAAAGAAAAAAAAATAGATTTTACGCTATGGTCTAGTCAATAAATTGTATTAAAACTTCTTGTAAAACTAAACTTGTATCAAAACTTAAATCTATTACTAAATTGTATCTTATAAATGAAACACTATATTAATTTTTTAGGGTTAGATCATTTATTCAGTTGTATTTTCATCTGTAAACGAAACAATATATTGTGTCATAACAACATTTGTTTTAAAACTATTTGATTACCCTTAAAGTTGTACTCGATGTCATATGCAAAGGACGCACGTTTATTTTGCAAAAAATAACTTTAAATAAATGCAATCATATTAAACACTTGGAGTTTTCATTTTGTTCAAAACAATTATTACATCTTTAAACGATTTTTTTTTTATACTCTATGGCAGGTATTCGAGGGCATATTGCTTTGCGTAAAAATAATAATATAGCGTAGTTGTTAAATTAAAATCATTAACTATTGTCGTGTCCAGACATGTACACGTTCGGACGATGCCCTTTTTATAACGACTTTGGGTAAAAAATCATAAATATTAATAGACGGCTGATAAAAAAAAAAAAAAGAGAGTACTATATTTTGCGTATATAAATAATTGTCTAGTGTGACTGGAAACGAGCCGAGGCGTACGCACTGGCATTGTGTTATTTAAACGAATGGGAAAACAGTTAACCTCTGCAGCGCCCGCCGACGAGTGTACGAGAGAAACCCGAGACTGACGTGTCGTATAATTAAAAGACGGTTCCCCAGAGACTGGGCCAAAGGTCAACGGTTGACATTTTGCCAGAACCGTTTTTAAACGTCGTTTTCAAAGCGAATCGGAAACGGTCCCAGACGGGGAATACTCGGCGGCGGAATTACCGCGTTCAGAATAACGCTGTTCGTAGACGCCAGGCCGTTAGGAATTTAACAGCGCAGCGGACAGTCCGTAATAAAGTCGATATCGCATTGTGATGACGACCGACGACTACTGTTGCAAGTTCGACGGACTGTTGCGGTAAAAACGCCGTTGTTTTATTATGAACGTGAAAGGTATTGATGGGTACTACAGAAGTCGCAAACAGACAAAGGTCGGCGTGTCGTATGGCGCGCGTTGTGTTGTAATAATTAATGACGAACGGACGGACTGGTACTCGCGTTTCAGCGCGTAGGTCCGATTCAGAACAGACTGGCTGTGCACGACCATTGTAATTATTCGTTTGCAAGTTTAATCGAGCCAGCGGTGCAGGTGAATATTTCATGAGTCTGACTTGGGTAAAACCCATCATCGGATTCCGCTGCCGTTTGCGTTTGCACAGCCGTACCCCTCCCCCACTGCCGTGCCACCAACCGCAGCGTTTAAATTGAATTTTATTATCATTATTTACCAGATCTACAAAGGTCGCGCATCGCAATAAAACTGCAACAAATACTTACGACGTAACAATACCAGTGGAACGAGTTTATTGTTACCGTGCTCGGCTCGGACGAACCGTTTATATAATATTCAAACTGTAACAATTGAACAATACCTACTTTTGTGTTCACCATTAATGATGAAATTGTATTTAGCGCAGGTGGTGTCTTTACTTACAATTCGTCGACTTCCAAACAAAATGAACACCTTATGGAAATCGTTGGCCGTGTTCTTTCGTCGAGCTTTTTCATTAACTTTTTTACCTCGTCCAATAGTTTTCACATGCAAATACGTTAGTGCCAACGGTAAATTTAACGATATTATTGTACACGTGTCAATGAAGAAATATAGTAAATAAAAAACAAAATCGTGATATTTCAGTAGATGCAAAGATTCAATCAGAAAAAATACCAATAACATTGTGTTAAAAGTCACATTACTGATGAAGTTATTAATTTGTTGAAAAGTTAACGTTTACTACGAAAATGTATCAAAACCAATTACTTACAAACCAATAGTAATTTCATTGATTTAAATAGAACAATAACACTTAAACTCTATTGAAATATGATTATTTAATAGGTTCCAAAAAACAACTCGGAAACATTCTTCAATCAATCACTGTGATATTTGATCAAGAGTGTGTTTGAACTCTGCATTAATATCAATTTTTATATGCTTTCAACCAGATGTAAAATGACTCTTTGACGTCCGAAACAATGACGTTGTATTGTTAGAAGGGTTACATTATTTTCATTGGCAATAAATATTATTTTAAAGTACACTTTTTATTGACACCCAACCAACGTGGGATCTATGACTTATTTATTTTATTAAATAGAGTTCATCATACCCGATGACGGCTCTGAATGTACGTTGAAAGCTTGTAAAAATATTCAAGTGGAAATGTCATTATCATAAATATATAATTAATTTTTATATTCTATTTTAATTGAATTTTAAACTCGTTAAATAAAAAAAAAAACAATTTGATTAATTATAAAATAACAACGAAAGAAACAATCAGACTTATTTTAAGTAATTATATTGATTGTGGGTATACATTATTACTCTAAATTATAAATTAAATTTCTACTACTATAACGAATAATTTCCATAATAAAACAAATAAATTAAAAATCGTTAAAATAAATTAAAGTTAAAAACACAAAAAATTCAATTTGAATGTCAATTATGTAACAAAATAAATTACAAAGTATGACTTTTCATCGTTCATAAAAATAAAAGCTGCAAAGGTACTAATTTTTCAAATAATGTGTTTTTCAACTAGTATTTTAAAAGTTTTAGTATTTACAATATAAAGTTTACTTTTGACCTTTTCTTATTCCCAAAGTAAGTAGAATTGTTTGTATAAATGTTTTTCATTTTTGAAAAATTCTGAGCCCTATATTAATTTAGAATAAATTTTGAACAATCACCTTTAACAGATAAAATAATCATAATTAATTTTTGATATTTTAATAAAATTTAAAAGAATGCTAAAATACAAAGTAAATATAAAATATTATTGTCGATAAAACAATTCAAATTGCATAATATCGTGATTTAATTTTAACTTTATAAATATTTTTAAGTTTGAAAAAAATAATTAAACAAATAATCAGTATAATCAAAGAAAAATAATCTCTTAAGATGATTAAATGTAAATGCTTCAAAATGTAAGAAATAAGTAAAAATTGCGTTTTTGTACAAAGGGTAGGAAATTAAATACTTTTAATTGATTGTGAACTAAACCAGGTGGGGTGAAAAGGTACTTAGCTCAGCTACCGTGAAATGTCTTTTGGGACGTCCGAGTACTTTGCCATTGTTATTTGTCGTCGGTCGTTGAATTTACTCAAAAACGCACAGCACTCGTGCGGTTTACTCTGTCGCCCTGCCCGCCCACACTTCACGCTTTCCATCTCTTACTCGAGGTGTTTCCGCAGGCTCTATGCATGCTGATGGGGCTTATGAGGAGAGGTGACATGCAAGGTAGATAGTAATTACAAATGTCTAAAAAATGACAGCAATAGTGCGATTTTGCCGAACACGTGGAAAGGTTGTGCGAGTAGGTGGAGGCGACTTAAGTTCTTTAGTCAATGAGCAAACCGGATAATCTAACTGTAGCCATGGAAACACCAATTTGGCTTTAACTTTTTTATTAACAAGCGATCACCCTGTTGCCGATTTGATGGCGCAGAGTAAAACCAGACGGCATGGCGAAGAGTGAAGGGAATTTTCATTTAACTCGAAGAAAAAATTGAATTCACATCCACCGGGCCATGAAATTGAATTTCACAATTTTCGTAAATACAAAAAAACGGAAAAAACTAAATAAATAAAACGATAATATATACACATATTAGTCCGAGTCAACCAATCTGCGGGGAAGAGCAACGAATCGACTTCCGGTCGACGATAAACCGATTATAAACTTACTGTCGGTGGCTCTGTGTATGTGTGTGTAATGAAAAATTGCTGATTTTGTATTGTGTACAAATCATAATAATTATTATTCCATTATTGAATATATATTTATATAGAGAAAAATACTCGCATCCAAAGATAAAATAAAACGGTAAGACAATGTGCAAAGCTTGCAAACGAATTGAGGTCGCGGCCAACACGCAATGAAACGGTAATGTAAACGCAAAATCACAATTTATTTATGGCCATACTTCTAAATACGAATAAAGTCGTTATGAATAGATTTAAAATCATTTTTTTGACGATCATTTCTATAAATTATCCGCCGAGCTTATGTCAATACACAATCATAAAAGTCGACCCGACGAAGACAATGTTTGCACAACTCTAACTATTTATACTGTTTAGTACTAACCAATTGAAATGAGCTTAGTGTTCACTACAATAGTTTCAGTAAAAACAATATTGTGTCATTATGACGCGCCAAAAATATTTAAATATATTTATTTAAATTTCTATACTTTTTGATCAAATTGAATTTCTTACGATGATATCGTTTCGTGTTTTGCTCGTGTATTATAGTTATACACGATTCGATTTGATAAATTTAATAAAATTTAGTGCAAGGTGCACCTTATTATAGTTTCATTGGACCCAATAGAGTCGACACTTATAAATAACCCCTTTATTATGAAGCCAAGTCCCGGAGGACTTTACAAACCGATCTGGCAATTCGTGTATTCGTCACGCATACTTAAAACTTTTCAATATGTTCCAATGGAATAACTACCATGGCAAATTCAACATTTTACGGTAAAAATAAACGATTTATTACACATGAGTGTATTCTAAAACAACAACAACGGAATTCAATAAAAACTTTTTGCATATTCGAATGGTTCAAATTCGATATTTATTTTTAGTTCCCTTCTTGATCATCGACTTCATTCTCCATACGACTACAACAGAACAATATGTGTCTTTTACAATGTGCTCGGAGCATTTTTTGTATGATCATTACTTTTTTGTACTCGTTTTACAACGATTAACAACTAGTAGTGCAGTGTGCTCTTACTTCCAGAATACATTTCTTGATTGTTAATGTAGCCGTCAAAGAGTTAACTCTAAATTGGAACTTATAGACACGTGCAAGAGGGTCGACATTTAATCGTAAATATCATGTCCATTTGAAATAAAAATCGCCGTGATGATAACAGTAAACCCCTCGCCGCTGGTCGATGGTAACGAGCTGCGGCCATTGTATTATAATGTGATAAATAAGCGAGAGCCGACAACGGTACCCCGGGGACCAAATTACCAATTTCGTATCGTTACGAACACAACTACTGGCCGCAAAACTAAAAAACCAAATATTATTTATTATTTCCACTTGCCAGTACGGATTTAAGGGTGCGCGTTAATCGCATACTGCCTTGTCCGACAAAATAAATAACAAACTGTAGGAAAAAATTACATTTTATTTCTCTGTAAATCGCACACACCTTTTCACTGCGCTCGACATTCCCGTTTGTTGTTG